TATGACAAGTAATGGAAAGCACTAGCATGCTCTGCCTGTGTGCGAGGACGGTTCATCATTCGGACTTATGTGGGAAGATACTCTCTTGGAAATGGGCAGCGCATGATTTAATGCCCCAGTATCATTTTCCATATGGTGAGCACGAGTGAGTGTGGACCACCTGACTGGCGTCCTTGATGATCTTTTGAGCTTTCCACTGGAATGGGTAATGTACCTATCATGGTGCTGTGTGTGCTCATAATTTCTGAGCTTGTCTTTCAGCAGTGTGCAGTCCTAAGCAGTAGAGTTGCCAAAGTGTTAGTATAATGCATCTTATCAGACAAACTGAGCATTAAAAGGTAACTGATATTTACTGCAATGACATTTGCTTTGTATTACCTTGTACAGGTGTTTATTTTTTACATTCCACTCTCAGTACTAACTAACACAAACTAGTATTATTGTATCAACTGGACTGTATAGAGGTAATATATTTACATTTACTAGCTTTTTGTTCCTTTGTTGAATTCTTTTGTTTAAAAAATGGTTCAGTAGTATTTTTGATTAAACTAGAACAGGAAATGGAGGTAAATAATTTTAACCTTTCAAACCAAACCCAGGGAGTAAAAGCTAGTAATAGTCCTTCAGTTATACTGTACTTTTCAGACTAACAAATGAATCTTAACCACTTTAATGTGGAGCATTAAGAATGGAGCAGCAGCCTGTCCTGTCAGTTTGTGCATTTATAATGTTAGCGTCATTAAGGTAGCATTAGCTGAGCAGCTGATGTCTTTTGTTGTCAGATGAGATTTACTGTGCCAGGTCTTTTACATTAAGTACACAACTACATAACATTCACCACTAATTATAATTTCTACCTAAATGATTACAATAATGAAAAAGTAATCTTAAGTACATTATTACAGATACAGGTTTGATCTGGTTTTATAAATATGAATTATTGAGTTTTTTTTATAGTTGAATTTGAACAAAATAGTGAACTGTACAAATATGTTTTGTACAGTTCAACCCTGTATGAAACAAATGGCTGTACTACATCATCCTGTTTTTGTAAAATTTCCTTGTTTTGATATTTCCATATCATTTTAATATTATCTTGTAGCAGACCTTGGGTTTACAGTGACTAGATTACTCTTGCTGGGCCCATTTGGCTTACCACAACAGTGGGGCAATATTAATGTGAAATACTTTCTCACAAAGTTCCATGTAGTTTGCTTTCCACACAGGAGATGTTTATGACCAGTGAAGTTACAGTTCCCACTTGCAGCCACTAGGGGTCACTAGTGTACGGTTGCCTCGTTAAGCTTTTGACTTCCTTCAGAGTGTAAAAGTGAAAAACATATACAGGGTGAAAGGTGAGCACATCAGTTGGCCCTTTGTTTGTTTATCTACAGGAACTTCTTTTTTTGAGGTTACACACACACACTTCCTGTATGCGGGCAGGCTGGGGGAGTCCTGAGAGATTACAGGAAGTAGGGATTGGCTTCTCAGGGGAGAACAGATAAGAGTCTGGCAGAGCGTGTGTGTGTGTGTGTGTGAGGCAAGACCATCTGCATTTTTTGCTAATAACAAACACATATGCAGGCACACAACCAAGTCTAGTTAAACAATCTGCTCCTGTACATTTGCTCTGGGTTTAGTTTGTGTGTGTAT